ATACAAATCAGTCTTAATCGTACCCTCAAGTGAGTACTTCGTCCCCTCCGATCAGGGACACGTGAACGGTCGTTCACTCAGAGTTTGTATACTCTAGGAAGCCTACTTCCTCAGCGCATGGTGCTGTGTGACCCCGTCACAAGAGTAGTCGATCGTGTTTGATGCCTTTCTCGATTGGATTGACCCAGTTTAACCCTATCGCGATAAATGGAAGCAGAATGCTCCTTTTCCTGGGTTTCAACTAAGAACGATGACGTATCCATGTTAAAGGAGGCAACATGTCTCCTTTTATATTTAAGTACGACTACGGTAAGTCGTTATGGGCATCGAAAAACCTAGCAAATCACACTAGGAAGATTTAAAGGCTGTCCATCACTGGCCTTAAAGGAGGCAACATGCCTCATTTTGATACCGACTATCCTAGTTTTGTGTACTATAGTTTACTAAAGTGGAAAGGGTTAAGGCGCTGTGCTCGAATTTGCTCTCATTATGCGCGATATGTTCGGGTAGGGAGAACATCGACATCATGTAAGGTTGGGTAGAGGCTTTGAATCAGACACATAATTTTTAAGAAATAAATGCTGTGGTTCTTGGGCACCTAACCCCCAAAACAGTTTATCTAAAAGCAATCCCTAGCACCAAATTCAACAAAATCCAAGGAGGACCAGACCCGCCGGTGATTCGTAAAAAGTCTACTTTGGGTGAATCTTCTGTCCAGTTAGAGATGCAAGCACAAAGAGGGAAATATGCTTTTCTGGTAACCTTCTATAGAGAGCACTACATCGAAGTGCGAAGAAACACTGGCTGGTACACCCTTCAGAAGTGGTCTATGGTTTGATACAATATACACTGTATTAAATAACTCTAGTACAGACCAAGAGTTATTGCATCTCCATTCAAGTACCAGAACCATTGACCATTATGTGTATGTTGTTAAAGTTTATAAATGAAGTGCGCTCCAGTATTGATGGCGGAACGTATCGAAAAATCGCAAGCGGAGCTACTACGTCTTAGCTCCAATACGGTTCTCCTAATAGTTCATGACTCTGTTCGTGATGTACTTTGAATAATCTCCCCAAATGAACTTCTCCCGAGGGTACCCATGAATCCTACTTCTCTTCACTCCCAACACCTTCGCAACCATATCATCGGCTGTTCTGTACTTGTCGACGGTGTACCACTTGTTGAACAGCGCTGTCTCCAACTTCTTGGAGACACCGCTTGAGCTCCTCGAATGCTTCCCCAGTAGGACCATTATCGCCACATTTTTATCGCCGAAGACATTCGTGAGTGCTGTAATCATGGCGCCGTACGAGTCCTCCTTGTTCAGCATGGCGGCATGTTGAGACCAAACCTTAAAGTTGCGGCTGGATAAAAACTTAACCACCATTTCCGTCTCGATAAAACCATCCTTACCAATCGGCATTTTGTTGAGCTGTAGAGTTTTGAAGGCATTCCCAAGCGAATCGTCGGCCTTAAGTAATCCCTGAAGCTCCTTGGTCTTGCTTGACGTAAATGCTTTTGAGAGCTTCTCGAGGCTAGGGAAATTCACCGAAATTCCTCTCTCTTCCTCAGCGGAATGATAGGTTCTGAGGAGTCTCTTGCTTGGGGTGTTCTCGAGCACGCGGAAAGGGACATCAGTAGACTTCACCTTCCACTCCCTCGCGGCGGAGGAGGTGTCAGAACTTACAATCACCA